GTGTATGAAAATGTACGTGGAACACATTGTATTAAGAAGTGTGAAAAATGTATAGTGATGCACGCTATGCATTTGTGCAAAGGAATGCCTGTCCTCCTGGTAGGTGTGTGTAGGTTTTCTCCTCCAGCGCTCAAGCAAGCAGCCATATCACCCTGCAACTCCCAGCTGGCAGCCCACTGAAGCTTAGTAGGTGTGAGCCTGGTCAGTACCTGGATGGGAGACCTCCTGGGAAAGCTAAGGCTGCTGATAGAAGAGGTGTTAGTGGGGCCAGTAGGGGGTGCTCATCATGTGGTCTATGTGGGTCCTAATGCCCCAGTATAGTGACGGGGACACTATACTGTAAAAAAGACACTGTCGTTTGGGTGAGAGGTAAAACCGAGGTCCTGACTCTCTCTGGTCATTTAAAATCCCAGGGTGTTTCTTGAAATGAGTAGGGGTGTTTCCCCCGGCGTCCTGGCCAAATTTCCTCTTGGCCTTTACCAATCATGGCCTCCTAATAATCCCCATCTCTGAACTAGCTTCATCACTCTGCTCTCTGATGTGTGGGGCGCACTGTGGCTGCCATCACATCATCCAGGTGGGGCTGCACCTAGTGTGGTGGTGGAAGGGGGTCCCCATTAGCTGTGTCCGAGCCACTGTGTGCTAACCTCTCGCGTTCGTCCTCTGCCAGACGCCGCCTCCAAGCACGCCACCCAGGCCTTCTTCGACTGCCTGCGAGCCGAGGTGGAGCAGTACGGGATCGAAGTGTCCGTCTTCAGCCCCGGCTACATCAAAACCAACCTCTCGCTCAACGCCGTCACCGGAGACGGGTCCACCTACGGAGGTGAGCGTCGCATTTCAGCTACAAACATGAAGCGCTGTACGTTTGTTAGCAATTGTCAGCATTGGGGGGATCAGTGGCTTTTAAAACAAAATACGTTACAGTTACAAGTGACTTGTACAAGGGTTTACAATTTCAAATCAACAAGTTGTGGGGGGGTGTTTTTAAAATGTATGATCTATGATGTATGGCTATAGTTAAGTCCTACATCTCAGTGCAAAGCAGTGCATCTTTTCAAATGATTTCAACCTTTAATTTACAAAATAGGAGTTACATAGTTACAGGCCCTTACATATGGAACTTGTAACTACAGTGAATTACTTTTTTTAAAAGTGATTTACCACTGATACTGGCAATCGACCAGTGATGCTTACAGGACGATATCCCTTTGGATATCTGCAAATATTCCTCTTTGTTTTACAAGTCGTTTTCCTACAGGTGTATATAGTGAATTGGTACAGGGGGTTGTTGTTTTCCTAGTTAATTATCAAGGTCTGCTGCTCCTGTGTTACACAGGCTCCACAGCGCCTAACTGGAGACATATTCCAGCTGCCCAACCACGCCCCAGGGGGTATACTGTATATATCGGGGCTCACCCCCATCCTGCCAGTAATCAGCCAGCTGTAAACACGCAAAAAAATATGTTGTCGTTCTCTTTTCGACACTTAGGTCAGCACCTTTCTAAACAGCCAGTTTAAGTAAAAGGAGGAAATTTTGCACTAAGGAAAAAAAACACTCTTCCAGTTCTTTGTCCATGCCTTTCATATCTGTTTTGCTGCACAGGTCTGATGAAAAATTGCATGTGGTGGGGCAGTTTTACTTGGCTAGTGCGTAGGACGGAGTCCTTTTGGCACAAGCAGACTTCCATGTTTTTATTTACTTAAGCAGAATTGCAGCCATAGCTCAAATTCCTGTTAACTTGCTCAAGCTTAGCTGGACAAAATTGCACCAGACTGGAATTTGTGGTCCAGCCAGTAATTTTAAATCTAAGCAGTCCATAAATAAAACTTCAGCAAGACTGTTACTAAGCAGACAATAGTCCCTGCCCAAAGAAGCTGTGGATCCTATAAAACCACTTTGTTTTTTATAAATTATAAAACAATGCTAGTTTTAAAATTACTATGGCATTCAGCTAATGTAAGTTGTACATTTGGGGAGTCAAGTCCCAGGGTTTTATTTTAAACGCATCTGCAGATATAATTACATTCAATGTGACAAAAACATGGGCACTTAAACTACCTGACCAGCCCTACCATGGAAAACTGTGAAAAACTGACAAAGTTCAAAAAGAGAAGTAATTTCACTGCCTGGTATGAACTGGTTAGCAGGACGCTTTAGTTTAACAATTATGTAAATCAACCTATAGGCACAATTTGTACCGTTTAGAACACTTGTCTGTGTTTGTCGGTGCAGTGATGATTTTAACTCCCTGTGACCCTGCGTTTAGAAACAGTATTCCCCTTCAGAAGATACATTTTCAAAGTGTGTTTGACTTCCTTGTTCAGTGGCATCAAGCTACACGATTTCTTTGGACAACACAGACGGTAACAGTGTTTCCTGATTGCTCAATAATTGTTGCATGCAATTACGGAATAATTATTGCACACAATCATAGAGTGATTGTGCAAAAACACATCGATTTATTTCATTGAAAATGCAATACGTTATTATTGTTTGGCACCTACTCTGGGAAATAATTTCAAGCAGTCACTGCACTTAATTTCGAGCAGATGAGGCCAATGGCTCAGAACTGTTACTTGACAGTGTTTAGCAGGAGCAATCGGGAGTTTACTGGGGTGCGGCTAATTTGATGACCCTGTTCGAGTCCGTATTCCCTGGTGCGGTCCGCAACCTTCAGTCTCAACAGAAAGATTTACTCCATTGCTCGGGTTGTCTGACTCCTGAAAGAGGTTTGTCTCCAGTCTGATTGCCTGGTAGTAGATCTAGAGTGGCCAGAAGGTGAGATCAGCGATGACAAGGAGACATTTGCGCCCGGATTCTCAAAACGTCCTGTAAGCGCAGTTCAAGTGAAAAATGGGGGATAAGATCTCGGACATCGCCAGGATGAGTACAGGCCATTAGGAGGGGAGCTTCCCCGCTGATCTGGTTGTCTCTTGTGTCTCAGTCATGGATAAGAACACCGCAGAGGGCTGGGACCCGCAGGATGTTGCCAGAGCCATCCTGGGGGCTGTGGGCAGCAAGAAGAGGGACGTCATGCTGGCCGGCCTGCTGCCCACCCTGGCGGTCTACCTCCGGACCCTGTGCCCCAGCGTCTTCTTCAGAATCATGGCTTCCAGGGCGAGGAAGGAGCGCAAAGCCAAGAACAACTAGAAACCCGCCTTCTACCCGATGTCCTCATCTCCCCATGGCTTGAGCTGCTGGTGTTGTTTGGAAGGGTGGGAGGGAACTGGCTACTAGCAAACATCTTTGCACTGTACTTGATTTGAAACACTACTAGTGTTACTGCTAATATTGCTACGGATATAGGAGGCAGGAAAATCGAAACTTATAGGATGTGGGATTATCAATAATTGAAATAATTCTAGACCCCTATTGTCTTAGATGTGTCAAGAATGTGCCGGAGTGGTGGGTATCGTTAGAGGCACCAGAGCTCTTCGTTCTCTGGCACAACTCTGGCAAAAGAGTAATAAATGTGAAGCACACTAGGATCAGTTTTTAATTAACACTAACAATAACACAAACTAAAACAACACAACATGCAGTATACAAGTTACCCACTTCAGAAAGCAGGATGTTTCAGTGGCCCACATTTGGACCTCCCAGAAAAAACCCAAACTACTGACCCAGTACTCAGAAATCCCACATGATGCCTTACAGGCTCAAAAGAGAGTAAAACCTGCGTCCAAAATAAAACTGAATACAACCCAGAGCTACATCTCCATTCCTGTAAATCTGTCTGCTCCAAAGTGAATGGGGATCACAGCCCTAACCCGGAGAGAACGTCTTTAGCCTGGTAGCCTGTTTCCTAAGATAAGAGGACAGCAAGCTCTCTTAAAGAAGGTTCAAATACTGAGCTAGAATCTGGCCTTTAAGGTCCTCTTGCCAGACACATGTCTCCTCTTCCTCGCTGTCTCTCTTCCTTCTCTTTCTACTTGCTTACCTGTCTTTTATCCTGTGTTTCTGGGTGTTGAATATTTACTAATTCCCCAGGAGGTCCCCTTAGGTCTTTGCCTCTTCTAAAGCTTACCTAAAGCTCAGTAAACACTTCCACTACAACTCATTGGTTCTTAAAACCTCGAGAACTGCAAAAATTAGCCTCTTAGCTTTTTCTGGCAAAATCATTTTTGTAACAAAATCACTAACCTGATTACCAGGATCATGGAACTCAAGAGAAACGGGCAGTTGAAAACACTGATACAAATCCTTCCAGCCATTTACAGTGCCTTGTATTCAGACTTTTAAAGTTTGTTGCAAGTTTACAGCTTGCAGTCATGACCCTCTGAAGTGGCCATTAGTTTTTTGTTACACAACCTACTCATCACATGCAAAGCACAAATACAAAAAGTTATGATTGCATAAGTATTCAAACCCTTTGCAGTTTTTTTTAGGTGCACAAATTACTTTATCAAGCCACACAGTTATCTGAGTGGCCCCTGTCTGTGTGCAGTAATACTGGTTCTCCTGATTTCAGAATAAAAACACCTGTCTCTCTGAGGTTCCTTATTCAGGCCATGAAGCAATGTTCAAGCAAAGACTCAAGCATGAAGAGTAAGGTCCCTCCAAACTGAGCAGATGGTCAAGGAGGAAACTGAGGTGCCAAAAATGAAAGTTGTGGTCAGATTAGGCCTCGTTGGTTTAAATACCAAGTGTTACATATGGCACAGACATAACAGTACATCTCCCAGTCAAATTAAAGTGGACAGAGAAAAATACAGGCATATACAGGAGGAGAACCAGTTTCGGTCTGCTTTAACAACTGGAGCGAAAATTCACCTCTCAACAAGACAATGATTCAGAGCACGAGGCCAAAGCTACATGGAAGTGACAGATGGAATATGTGCCAGGACACTAAGGTATTGTGCTGAAGAATTGAGTGGAGTTTTTCGACAACTCTTCCGGCTCTCGTTAGACACTGGCACTGTTCCAGCTGTTCAGAAGCACTACACAGTTGTACCCATTCCTAAGACGAATAGACCTAAAGCTCTCAGTGACCTCAATGATTTCAGGTCTGGCTCCATGAATGATGAGGGGCTGTGAAAAGTCACATATTGGGGCTGCAATCGAATCCGCCCTCCAGTTGGGTTACCATCCTGGAAGGGGAGTTGATGATGCTAAAATGTTTCTACTCGGAAAAATGTAACCACATTCAACCACATTTTGGTTGGAAAAACTAATCACACGTTTCAAATTAGATCGTCAGCTTATCCTGTGGATCGTTAGTTTTCTGACCAATAGCACACAAAATGTATCTACTAATGGTTTAACATCTGTCTTCATTTACACTTCTACTGGTTCACCACAAGACTGTGTTCTTTCTCCCCTGTTTTTCATCTCATATACTGACGACAGTCAGAGCAACTACGAAAATCATTACATCATCAACTAATACACTGTCATGCTGATGACAGTCTATTAGTCTCTCTCCTCTCAGAGCCAGGACAAACACACAGACCCATTCTGGACAACTCCTTCAGCTGGTGTGATACTTCCTGCCTCGAGATGAATGTGTCAAAAAACAAAAGAAGTGATTGATGGGTTTTAAAAAAAACCCAAAGCAATATCTTTCCCACAACAATCCACAGTTACAAATATCTGGGCACTGTGTTTGACGATAAACTTAAGTTCACCGAGAACATTGACGTCATTGTGAAGAAATCCCAGGGGCGCTTTTATGGTCTGAGAAAAGTCCAAGTAGGAATTCTTTCAACATTTTATAGCTCTTTCATTGGAAGTATTTGAACCTTTTCTTTTATCTCTTGGTTCACTTAGTCAAAAAAAAGACAAAAAAATGTTGTAAACCTCTGAAATCCTTGGTGAGCCTTTCAGACCCCTGGCACAGCTGTGTGCCCAGCAGCCCCTGAGGAAGCTCACTTCCTTCAGCAGTCTCCTGACCTTCTGCCTTCAGGAAGACATTTTTGTCCACAGCGCAGGATGGATAGAACGAAATTTAGCTTCATTCCAGAGGCCTGGGGCTCACGAACAATGACTGGAAATTATGTCTATTGGACAGAGCCCACCACCCCTACTCCCCCCACAAATAATACCTAATACCAGACACTGCTACTGTCATAAACTCAAAACTTTCTTCTTTAGAAGGGCATCTACTTAACTGGTTCTATTTACCCCTCTGCTTCTACTGTACTCAGTCCACTCCAGCAACTCGTCGTGCTTTGGCAGGTTCTTCTTGACAATGTGTGCTTTTTCTTGAACTTTATTTTGATATCGGTGGCTTGATCTGTAGTGTACCCTTTTTCTGTCTCTTCCTTCTGTGTATTCCTGTGGTGCATATACTGTGCATGTGTTCATTGTTGTTGTCGTTCTGTAAAGTGCTTCAAGCCACCTTTAAAGGTGTTATACAAATCAAGTTTATTATTACTTTCAACCACTTCGATGGTTCGTTTGCTGTTACACCTATGTCTAGTTTTTTCTTAGCAATGTTTGATTTTTGTTTGGGGGGCTTTTTGGTTTCTTTGTTTTGGTCGTGTGTTGTATGTTGCACCAATGTGCTGCTTAAATTGCCCCCCGCCCGGGGAATAAAGTAGGTTAAATTGAATGAATGAGAGTCTCTTCAATCTATCTGGATTCTATTGGGAAATTAATCTGAGGATCTTGTGCATTTAATTCTTGAAGGGCGCCGATTTAAAGAATACCTCGTTCCAGACCCCCCACAATGCTTTGCTCAAATACAGGTTCAAAAATGCCATTTTGACCGGGAAAACAGTATCTACTTATGGGTAAGAAGCCAGCTACTCCTACATTTTTAATTCACTGATGAAAGCCAGGATGTTGGGTAAGTTCCGTGAAGTTGCTCCCCTACAAACTTAACCTTGATTTTGAAGTATTTTCCGTGCGTTTGCGTGAACGGGACATTTTTGTTGTCATCATACTGTAATCACAAGAGTCGAGGGCTTAGCCTTAAGAAGCGAACAGTTGCATGATCTTAAAAAGGCTTTAACTAGCACGTCTTACTAATTCGTAGCGGTTTTAATATTTATTAAATATGAAGAAGCAATCAGTTTCCCATCGTGTCCATTTCATATATGCAAATCAAGGGATTTAAAGATTCGTCACGTCTTTCGAGCCACGTGAATTTAAAAATTCCTGAATGAACAACTTCTTGTATTTTATGCAAAGCAAAAACGTGAAAGAGAGCCAAGAAATTGTTTAAAGAAGCACTATTTTAGTTAAGCTAGAAAGTTCAACACATCTCCAAAAGCGTTGGACCCTCAGGGTGTCTCACACATACAGACCTCGGAAATATTTGAATATTTTTATTTTCAGATCAAATAATTGAACATATTTTACGTTTTAAAGGCAAAGACGAAAACCTCCGCCAGAACAGTTTTTAAAGGAGACCAAATGAAGGCTGATACAAGATTAATCAAACCTGGCTTCTGACTTTTAATTATTTAGAAATGTCTAAAACACGGACTGGATCCTGGAGCTGGGCGTCTCCGCTTTGACGCAAGAAAATTGAAGTACAATCCCACTCCGTACTTCTAGCCGAGCCGCTGATGAAGTAACCTTATTGAACCTTCAATTGGACATTTACGTTTTGTTTTCAATTCAATTCAAAATACTCTATTCATCCCCAGGGATTCAGATTGTTATTAGTAAAAGGTTAGAAATTAGCGTCAACCTTGCGCCAGAAACAGTGTTTCAGTGTTTCTTTTAGCTTTGGATCAAGCAGTAAGAATGATAGTCAGTTTGATAGTCAATCTCACCTGTGGTTACTGTACTGTACTGTACATCACTCATTGGGTGTGGTTCCCCAGCACTTTTCACTGTATAACCTTTATATGCAGTGTATAACACGATACTGAATTTGAATTACTTTTTAAATTAATCAGAATGAGTTTGCATCTCTCTTAAAGATGACAATTATGAGTTCATATAAAGTTCCTGCATACCTGTCACACACAGTTTCCGCTAGTTTGTTGCCAGCTGTCTGATTTTCATAGACACCATTTTTACCACCTGCACTCTTTGCACTTGACTACAGTAACTTTCTTATCTTATAGTATATTAAATAATAGCTTCTCTGATCGTAATAATAAGGAGCTCTAATAGTAATATTCAATGCTCCTTTGATTGCAAAACTAGTTATTACACCCGTATCACTATTCTGTTTTCTATGCATACAGCAGTTCACTTTGTATTTACATGCATTGCTTCTGATTATTAACCTTTCAATCTGAAGGACTAAAATTCTATGTGGAACCTTGCCAAACGCCCATGGAAATATGAAATATAGCACGTCGTGACACCTACTAGCATAAAGGAACTAAAGGGATACTCTGTCCAGACACCAGCTGGGGTATAAAACATTAAGATGAATTTAGTTGTTCATATATTTTTTTTAAGTTGTCTTTAAAATCGTTTCAGACATTTGGTTTAACAAAAATTTAAAAACAACATTTTAAACACTCAGACTTGAGACATACATACAGTATGACA